AAAAAAAAAAAAAAAAGAAAAAAAACCCACCAGAATAACCCAACAGCGAAGAAGCCCACTCCATTTTCAAAGAGAAATCCATTTCTGCCATGGAGTTACAATTTTTGAGCCTTTTAATGGGGGGGAAGAAAGCTGCCCGAAGGACTTCTTGCAGGGATGAAACAAGGCAGAATTAAATAAAGGCGAAGAATTGGTCTCAAAATCTGATTCCTCGTTTTCTTTCGCTCAAAGCAGGATGAACGAAGGAATTAAATATTCCTAAGGAACATTGTCCAGGCAGCAAACTCGCCACTCCCTCCCACTGCTTCCCATTCGAAGCCACTCTCATATTTAATAAAATGCGCTGGTAAAGGAATTGGAAAATGTATTTGTGTGTAGCTGGTCGTAATTCGAATTAAATTGCGAGGTTTCACGTGGTAGCGTGGGGTTCTCCGAAGCTTTCTGACCCCTCCACCCAGGTTTTAAAAAACAGACACGTTTTGTTTTTAGGGAAAGTGGAGCTTCATGGAAAACAGCTAGAGATCGAGCATTCAGTGCCTAAAAAGCAAAGGTAATACAGTGTTTTCTTTTTTTTTAAATTATTTTTTAAATTTCTAATTGGGGGGGGAGAATAATGTAAGATAAAGGAGGCGAAAAAATTCTACCCAAATACGTGGACATGAAATGAGAGGTTTGGTGATTTGGCGTTAGATGGGTCCCCAGCCAGGTGAGGGGCAGCACTCGGGGTCAACATTGAATTTCTGTTTGGTTGGTTGTTTGTTTTTAAAAAGAAATCCACTTCTGCTAGCAAGTTTGTTGCTTTTTTTGTTTTTTTGTTGTTGTTTTTTTTGGTTGTTTTTTTTTTAAAAAGAAATGGTCAAACAATTCTCCAGCAGCTCTCCCAAGGTGGTGGCTGGCCGAGGCGTTTTGGGTTGGGATTTGCAAACTTGTGGCACTGGAAGAATTTCCCAGCCTCGCTCGGCTCCGCTGCTGCGAAATGGGCAAAATCTTTTGTTTTCCAAAAGATCTGTAAAATGAAAAAAAAACCACCCATAAATTTCTTCTTTTTTTTTTTTTTAAAGTGAGTTTTGCTGGGATTTGATGGTGAGGGTTGAAAGAAAAGAGTAAAAAAAAAAAAAAGAATACAACTAAACCCCCATGGGGCTGGCCTTCA